AAAGGATTATCTGAAGCAAAGGACGCCAATTTTTAAGCAAGTTCCAAGGTGAGAAAGGGGCTGAAGCCATACGTTTATACAGGAAGAAGATGGCAGATATTAGCAAAGATACAAATATAACTAGATACATGTTCACTAGTTGGAGTAAGCTTGATGAACAACCAGACTTCGGATTTGGCATCCCAGTTTGGACCGGTTTTACTGGTGGTAAGCTGAGTCTTGAATTTAGGAATCTCTTCATTTTGATTGAGATTCCTGATTCTGGAGGAATAGAAGCTTGGTTGTTATTAGAAGAGCAAGAGATGGACGCCTTGCAATCCGATGCAGACTTCCTCGCTTTTGCTTCTCCAAGTACATGATCATACCAAGTATAATAAGTAAGAATTCTTACTAAAGTCCAATCTATCTTCTCTTGCTGTAAATATAATAAAGCTATGTATTTACTCCAGGCAATCCTTTCAATGATCGGTAATTTGGAGTAGTACATACTATTGCTAGTGCTAAGCTGTACTTGTGAGAGCTTACGCTCTTATGTTGAAATGGAAGCCAATCTAGCCTCCAAAGATATCTTCGATCAATCAATGTATGTAACATTTTAATTTATGGCTTATATCCATGTTCAAAACAAAGAATTCCTCCAAACTTGTACAATCAATTATCCATTTTACAGAAAATTAAGCTACTGATAAGTGGAAAAATGTTTTGAGTTTCGGATGGACAAAGCATGAATTTACATATAATGACGAATGCAGCTATAAAGATGCAACGATGCAGAATCAAGCAATATAATACATTGTATTTGGGAGTTTAAACGATCTTTGGGCAATTGCATATCCTAGCAAGTCACTCCATTGATCTCCTGAGTTGCCGCGAATCCTATAACCCTCATCCACTAACTCCTTTCTCTTCTCGGACTTGTACTCAACAGCCAGTTTAGCTTTATCAGAAGGTCCCCTGTTATTTGATTACAACAACCAAACAGCGAAATGATAATGAGCCGGATTAGTGATATTTGACAATTATAACCCGGAGCATTGACTTTAAAATGTTAAACATACCTTAAGATCAATCTTTCCCAGTTACTGTAACCTGCATCCCGTAGATTAGCCTCAGTTGCATTTCTAAAAGGCTCACTCCTGCCTGTCAAGACAAATATTGTGAACCCAAGTCGCTGAAGCTCCTTGTACAGGCTCAAACTTGCTGACAAAGCAGGTGACTTAGCAAGCAGCATATACTCATCAAAAGACTCTTCATCGAAGATCTCTGATCTAAGCACAAGAAACGCAAGCATAGCTTTAGGCCAAGGAAGCAATGTAAGAAATAGCTTTAGGCCAAGGAAGCAAAGTAAGAAAGAATTTAACTGTCAAACTACTGGGTTTGACAGACCATTCAATTCATTTTTCCATTTTACGCATATTCACATAAAGCCAATAAATGAATTTATTTAACTAAGAGCTGACATGATGTGGATGTGTGGAACTATTGATGCTCAGAATGATATATAAACTCACGATCAAACACATCAATCAAGTAAAGTATCCAAAAGAAATTCTTGTCTTCTGAGCAGTTGAAAATGAAAATATATATTCCATCAACACCACCAACAGACAAATGAGGGCCAAAAGATTTGGATATGAAAATCAGAAATGATGTATTTTTATCAAAGAGTAAGGATAACAGAAAGCAGCGCTGTTTCAATCTTTTAAACCATTAGCATACTAGCACGGAGATCTTCAGATGTAAGATTCACATGAAAGTCTATTCCAACAAAAGGATCAGAATCAGTGTAATAGAAAATAAGCAATGAATGGAATCTCTGGACTAATTCATAGCATCTTTCTAGTTTAGAAGAGTAGGCAAGAAACAAATTATGAAGTTAGTTAAGACCACTAGAAGAATTGCTAGTTTGAAGCAGAAAGGGGCATAATTCCGCTTTCTGTAAACCTACATATATTTAAACAAGTAGGCTCTGTCATGAATAATAATAGATCACAAGTTGTTGAATTACAGAGGAATGTGTTCCCAGAAAGAAACAGAGCAAGCAAGCTATAGCATTTCTCAGAATACCAAGAATGGCAAGAGAAGAAGATGAAGAATGATGCACAACTGTTGAATCACATGAGATAAACACCAGAAAGCAAAAGTATTTGATACTGCTTTACATTCGAAACGTTTGGGAAATCAATCACTGGACAAAAACAGGAAGGAATCCTGTTTTGCATTTGAATCCAGAGTTGATAGTTCTACTTTCCACAAATCTGTTGGAACAGAAACTTAATCTTTATATCCTATGGACAGAGAAGCATAATATGCATGTCGCATATCCTGTCATTGTCCGATGATCCCACAGAGAACACTTATCTTGCCAGCACTGCACAATTCAATTTATAATTTTTAAGCACTTTAAGAGACTTGAGAATCCATTAGCACAGAGCTATAGGACACACTATGAGCTGAATTAGAACTGAGTAATGTGTTCAACTGATGGCAGCATTACAAGCTCTCAAGAGTAAATGAGTTGCTATAATGGTCTATTACAAAATTTTAAAAACCAAATTGCACATTGTCACATTCTTCATCACCCTCGCTAAAATGACACACTCACACACATCTCTACTATTAGCCAGCTTACCACATTAATCAACACGAGTTACAGGACAAGCTCAAATTATTTCTTTGTAATTGGCACCATTTACAATTACACAAAGCTAATACAACTCATAAGAATAACTCGCACAAACATCACACCGCCTTTAATTTCGTTATACAATCACTCCTCCTAAATAAATAATGGGGGCAGCAAGGATCACCACAGCAATAATTGAGAACACATAAAATACTTGACCATCCTTGCCAATTAAGGATTAACATAACAAGTTAAGAACTTGCACATGATCAATTTTCAACCTCCCTTCCAAGTTAAGCATCAACATATTAAAAACAAAAATAAAAAATAAAAAAAAAATAAAATTAAAAAACATTAATCATATGAACTTCCAAACCTGAACTCCCTCAAAAACTGAATTTGCCACCAATTCAAACACCTGATCACAACCTTCAACTACAAAACACAATATTTCTTGCTCAACTTTATATTATTACATTCCTGGTAAAAAAATCCAGCATTTGAATCTCCAAAACCAACATAAATTAGTCTAATTTAAGGCGATTTTCCCCCAAAAAATGTGGCATTTTTTCACATTGAGCTATAATCCATTAATCCAACAAAATATAAATTCAATTGAGCTATAACCGAATTCATATAAAGAGATAATCAGTAAATTAGCCTTTATCATCCCAAAAATTTCATAAAGTAATGACAATTCAGAACAAACATCATCAAATCAAATCATACCAAAATTCAATCAATCGCAAAAAGACAGAAAATCTCACCCATATCCGTGAAGCTCATAATAAGGCAAATTAAAGAGAAGAGTTTCATCAACATCGAAAACCCAAGCATCCTTTCCATCGCCGGAAACATTAATAGACTTCGCGAATTCCAACTCAGCTCCGGCGACAACGTCGGAGTCCGAAAAGTAACGGTCACCGGTAAAATAGTTTTTCACGAAGTCAAAACAGCGAGTAGGAATAATGTACCAAATTCCGGCATCGTTTGTTTCGACGGAAAACCGCCAGCTTTCGCAGAAGAGTTGGTCATCTTGGCCGAATTTCCGGTTGCTGGGAAGGAGAAGGTGGTTTTCCGATGAGACAGAATGGGGACATGTGAAAGAGAGGAGAGAGAAAATGAGGAGAAGAGAGAGAGAAAGGTGGTTTCCCGGTGAGGACATTGCCGGCAAACTTGGGTTTGACAGGATGAATTAGGGGATTGATTAGGTGGTTTTGAAGTGGGATTGGGAAGAATATGGACCAATAGGTTATTGACACTTGTTCTTATAATATGGTGTATTGTTTCCTATTTTCTCAGGGTTTTATAAAATGTTTTATTTTCAAGTGGTACACAATGCTATATTTAAATTATTTTAACATTAAACTAGCTTTTAGTCCGTTCAATGCACGGGTGGTTATTTGAGTTAATTACTTTCATATGTAGGTATGCTTTTATATGAAGTAATTGTTTTATTTCTAAAAACTTAAGAGAAAAAAAGACTCGGGTAAAACTATGAAAGAAGAGGAAGGAATTTATTTAGATATATATACTTGAAGATTGTAAGATATAAAAAGATATATTGGTTTAAATAGAATTTAAACTCTAGTAGATTAAAAGACAATTTTTATTATAACTAATATGTTTATGAAATGTGTACTAATTAATTGAATTTTATTTTATTATGGTGGAAATAACACACTTTATTTTCTTACTTGAATTTGCAAGTTGTAGAATGCATAAAGACTTAAACATAAATATTAAGAGAGGTGACATGTGTCATATGGGGTATTGAGTGACTTGTAATGCCATGTGTCATATGAAAAATTTGTGATTTGTGTTTTTAAATACTAAAGTATAGAGTAAGTATAGATATAGATTATGTTTGTTAATGCTTCATATCAAATTATCAACCATTAGTTATCTTTTAAGTTGGTGTATAAAGAGTTAATGCAATATTTTAATTGAATGTGTATATTGATTGAGAACAATTTGACAAGTTTCAACATTACTCAATCTCTTTTTACTTAAAAATTATACTTTGTAATAGATCAAACTTTATAATCTTAAAGTTAAGGGGAAGTATATCTTAAAGTTAATAATTTGTTTCTACTCCTCCTCTCCTTATTTTTTGTCCTATTCCAAATCATACTTTGGGTCAAACTTTATAATCTTTGACCGTAAATCCTCATTAATCTATAAAAGATAATAGAGAGTGAGATATTGTTAAATTCGTACGTCATAGTGTATAATTTATTAACATCAAGTTTTATAATTTTGTTGGAGACCGTAAAAAGTCCAATCAGGTAAAATAAATAGGGAATAGAAGAATTAAATTGAGTCTTTATGTGCATGTTCTCTTCAACTTATTAAAAGTAATCATACTAAAAAATTGGATAAACCATAAGTTTGATCATAACATAACAACTAAAAATGTGTAAGACAACATTTATTAATATAGGTGACGATGTATGGTAGGTAGTAAAACTAGTGTATATGTGCCATAACACGACTACATGGCTACATAAAACATACTAATGGAGCACGAATATAATTACATAATCATGCAACATAGTACATTGGATTAGGGTATTTAAATGATCGTTGTGAAATTGCATATCCAAGCAAATCACTCCATTGATCTCCAGAATTGCCATGGATTCTATAACCTTCATCTTCTAGTTTCTTTCTGTTTTCGGATTTGTAATCAATTGCCGTTTTGTTTTCATCAGAAGGCTGCCTACACCATTACATGATCAAACACAAGCCATCAATTACAAAGTTAATCAATTGGTCATAAAATGTAAGAGCTCAGAAAAAACTAAAAGACTAAAATTATACATACCTCAAAATCAATCTTTCCCAATCACTGTATCCAACATCCATTAGATTTGCTACACTAGAATTCCTTATCCATTCTGGTCTGCCTGTCAAGAGGAAGATCTTAAACCCGAGCTTACGCAACTCCTTGTATAGCCTCAAACTTGCCTTTAAGACAGGTAGTTTAGTCCCTTTCCCTAATCCCCATTTTATGAACTCTGTCCTGTTTTTCTTCCTTCAAAGTTGAACGAACCCAATTGTTAGTATTAGTATTTAGTAGTACTTATGACCTGTTCTCTTTAGCTTATTTTCAATTCAGTTCAATTCTTAATTTTCTCCACTCATAAAATATTCGGTTCAATTCAATTTAGTTTAATTCAGTTCAGTTCAGTTCAGCTCCAATCAGTTCAATTCAGCCCAGTTCAGTAAATAAGGGTTAATTGACACAATCACCAACATTGTATGCAATGATTAAATCAGTTTAAAAAAAATATATCATTATAATTTATAACTAATTAGTTACTAACAAGAGATAAGGGAAAGCTTACCCAAATCCATGAAGTTTATAGTAAGGGAAAGTGGAGAGAAGGGTCTCATCAACGTCAAAAATCCAAGCATCCATCTTATCCCCTGCAATATCCACTGATCTAGCATACTCTAATGCATTTTTCGCTGCAAGGCCGAAATCCAACGCGTAGCGATCTCCGGTCATGTAGTCCATCACATATTTATAACAACGGACGGGTACACTTGACCAATTTCCGGCATTGTTGGTCTCCACAGAAAATCGCCAAGTTTCACAGAAGAGGGACGACTCGTGATCGTGGTTGCGATTGTGATTGTAGAGCTTTGTAGCTGTAGGGAGGGGAACGTGAATTGGCTGCGAGAGAGTTTGTGATGGTGTGACAAAGAGATAAGTGAAAAGGAGGAGTTCAAGTATGATGAGGTTAGTTGGAGGATGCATCATTATTGCCTAAAGCAAATACAGAGTATGATAGTTGTTACTTGTTAGAAAAAAAAAAAAAAATAAGGTTGTAATAATAAGGTTAGATCTTTTTTCTCTTGGGAAGTGGATGGTCATATATCTATATCCTTCGAATTTAGATAGGTTGCTAATATTGACCAATTTGATTGATCTTTTATGCTTTGATTTTTCTACGTGGGTATATTTGCGCTTTGAATGATTGGATGCACTAATTTAACTTGAAGTTGCGTGTGTAAAACCATTATTAGCTAGCCAGCACTCCATTCTTTTAAGATATGATAGTCCTATTCTCGAGTCCGTCGATCCCATTGATATTGATTTATACTTCCCTAATCAAAAGAAATCGTATAATAAGTCAAACTTTGTCAAATAAAATAAGACATGAGGTCAATGTATCAATATATATGATGAATTAGTACAGAGTACTTTGTTGCATGTACTGGCACCTTTTGAGTATATGAAATATTGTAAAGTTAGCTAGGTTGTGTAAAATTTAAGTAGTACAGAGTATGTATTAAGTCCACATACCGGAAGAAAAATACTATGAAATTAAAATGCAATACAGAGTAACTTTAATTTGACAACCCTACCAAGCAAGCTAATGTAAGACATTATTGATAGTCTAATTAATATATAGAAGACATGTAATTATAATATAGTAAGTGATAGCACATTTAAATGGTGCAAGAACGTAATAATCATGCAACATAGTACATTAGATTAGGGTATTTAAATGATCGTTGTGCAATCGGATATCCCAGCAAGTCACTCCATTGATCTCCAACGTTGCCAATGATTCTGTAACCTTCATCTAATAGTTGCTTCCTTCTTTCGGTTTTGTAATCAGTTGCTGTTTTGTTGTCATCAGAAGGCTGCCTACATCATTACATGATCAAATACAAAACAATAACAATTAGAAAGTTAAAACTAGAGCATTGAACTTGACACAAAAGAAAATGAAAGAATGCTAAGATTATACCTTAAAATCAATCTTTCCCAATCACTGTATCCGGCCTCGGCTAAATTTGTTGTGGTGTAGTTTCTAAGCCATTCTGGCCTGCCTGTCAAGAGGAAGATTTTGAACCCGAGTTGATGGATTTCCTTGTATAGACTCAAACTTGCCTGCAAGGCAGGTAGTTTGTTTCGCAACCCCCATTTTACAAACTCTTTTTGGTCCGTTTTCCTTCAAAGTATATAACAATTAGCAAAAGGTAAGTTTTTTACGAGTATTTTGGATGCAGATAACTATAAACACGCCCTAATAAATTTAAGTAATTTTTAATGGAAATTTTATTAGAAAAAACCATTTATAACAACTTTTTTTTTTTGGAGAAACCCATATTAAACTTACGTGCACTTTATACAAGTGATACATATACTAAGACCCTGTTTGATTCACCTTAAAAAAATAATATTAAGTAAAAATAATTTCAGTTCAGTAAAAATAAGTTTGGTTCAGTAAAATTAATTTCAGTTAAGTAAAAATAATTTCAGTTCAGTAAATAAGTTCAGTTCAGTATAATTCAGTTTTCTTAAAGAAGAATTATAATAGAAAATCAGTAAAAATAATTTCAGTTCATTAAAATTAATTTAAGTTCAGTAAAATTAAGTTCAGTTTAGTAAAAATAAGTTCAGTTCAGTAAAAATAATTTCAGTTCAACAAAATTAAGGTGAATCAAACAAGACCTAAGTTAATAACGAGTAAATAATTATTAGCAATGATATTAAGACCGGGAATAGATAAATTACCCAAATCCATGAGATTCATAGTAAGGCAAGAGAGAAATAAGGGTCTCATCAACATCAAAGATCCAAGCATCATTCCCATCCCCGGCTATATCTACTGATCTAGCAAACTCCAACGCGTTCGTCGCAGTAAGGCCGAAGTCCGACTTGTAACGATCACCGGTCATGTAGTCCTTCACAAATTCTAAACAACGGTCGGGTACAGCCAGTGGCGGAGCTAGGGTGGGTTCAAGTGGGTTCATTGAACCCACTGATTTTTTGAAAATAATTAAAAACTTTTTTTTAAAAAAAAAAAATCAAAATAGGTTTAAATAGAATATTTGTGTATTATATGACAACAAGTAAAGTTGTAACCCAGTGGTTATTTTTACCTCCCATCACACAAGAGTTTGTGGGTTCAAAACCCATAACTCACACTTTTTTTTAATTTTGTTTCCTGAGCTTTTCCTGCTTCCAGCTTTCCTCTTCCTCATTCCCCCAAATTGCAAAACCCTAACTTCTTCCTCCTTCTCTTAATCTCTTCCCGTTCTTCCTCCTTCAGTCCTTCTCTTCCCGTTCTTCCTCCTTCTCTTCCCGGCGCAACACGGCAGCAGTCAGCAGAACGCCAGAACACGGTGGCAGCGGCAGCGCACCAACCACTCACCCAGCAGGCCAGCAGACCCACCGTCGTCCGTCACAGCACTGACAGCCTCACAGCCGTGTATCGGTGTATGTAGGTAAGTGAATTTGGGGATTTTTTTTTTACAAATGTAATTTACTTCTCAATTTGGGGATTTTTTTTGCTAAATCATTGAATACTTGAAATTCATATGCTAAATAGCTAATGTACATTACGAATTGCCAATTTTTTGTAAATTGCTGAAGTTTGGTTATAATTATCTAATTTACTTCTCAAGTTCTCAAGTCATAAGATTTATAAGGATGATCGCGTGAAGGCTATTACTGTCATGTCTACATTTGAATCATTTGAATTTGTATTTATGATACATTTGATGTCCGAAATATTTGGGATTACTGATAAATTGTGTCAAGCTCTGCAAAAGGGGGACCAAGATATTGTTAATGCCATGACATATGTTAAATTGACTAAGGAGGGATTACAACAAATGAGGGACCATGGGTGGGAAGACTTTTTACATCTTGTGGTTTGTTTTTGTGTTAAACATGATGTAGAAGTTCCTACTATGGATGATATGTATGTTCCTCGTGGAAGGTCAAGACGCTTCTTTGCCAAAGTTTCAAATCTTCATCGATTTCGGGTAGAAATATTTATAAGTGTCATTGATTTACAACTCCAAGAGCTCAATAGTAGATTTGATGAAGAAAATATGGAGTTACTTATTTGTGTGTCATGCTTAAACCCGATCAATTCATTTGCGGCATTTGATATGCAAAAGTTGTTGAGACTTGTTGAGTTATATCCCAAAGAGTTTCCAACTAATGATATGACGATGACTGCACTTCGTCATGACCTTCAATTTTATATTAATGATGTGCGCCAAGATGCAAAGTTTGGAGACTTGAAGGGTATTCATGAGCTTTCTATGATGCTTGTTGAAACAAATAAGCATACTACTTACAACTTAGTTTACTTGCTTATAAGACTAGCATTGATCCTTCCGGTTGCAACTGCAAGCGTGGAACGAGTGTTTTCCTCAATGACATACGTAAAAAATAAGTTGCGAAATAGTATGGGTGATCAACTATTGAATGATAATTTAGTCACTTTTCTTGAAAGAGATTTATTTTCAAGAGTTAGTGATGATGATGTATTGGAACGCTTCCAAAGTATGAAGACTCGAAGAATGCTTCTGTAGTCTTTTTTTTTTTTTTTTTTTTTTTTTTTTTTTTTATTCTATGTGTAATCTATTTGTAATCTATAGTTTGAACTTATTTATGTACTGAATATTTGATTATTGTATTTTTATTCCTTTGTTAATTATGATTTCAAATTTTGGAAGTTTCGAACCCACACTTCGAAAATCCTGGTGACGCCACTGGGTACAGCCGACCAATTTCCGGCATTGTTTGCCTCTACGGAAAACCGTCAGCTTTCGCAGTAGAGTGACGATGACGACGACTCGAGATCATCACCATTTGAGAGGGACTGAGATGTTGTCATTATTGGGATGACAAGAAGAAGAGTGAATAGGAGGAGTTTAAATATGATGAGATTGAGATTGAGATACATTATTGCCTTTGAGATTAATTAGTTTTATTTTGTTGTAACTCGAGGAAAACATTTTCCATGCTTTAGTAGATGATTAAAGGTACGACGTATTATTTTTTTTTAATTTTAAATAGGTTACTAAGTTTGACCATTTGGACAATTCTTTATCCTTTGATTTTTTTATTTGTTTTTTTTATGGAATATGTAAAATTATTTAATTGATTTGCATTCATTGAATTATCAAAATTATCATTTTACTAAATCAATTTTAATTATTCTGTCTTTTTGATCAGTTGAAGTGGCTTACGTGTGTTGTGTGTATAATCAATATTAATAAAATAAGTAGTCAAAATTAAACAGCAGAACATTGAAACTTCAAAGAAGCAGTCATACACGTTTCTACTCTCATGGTTTAATTGGGAAACTAATCTGAATTCGATTTTATGTATTGATTTTATATTTTTGCATACATTTTGTGTGTTTAATTAATAAAGTACTACTGTAATATATATATTCTGAGGACGAGATGTACTGATGTAGCTACCGTACTAGCATGTGTATGTGACAATAATGTGGTATTGATTTTTCGGGTTTTTTTTTTTTAATTAGTAAGACACGAGGGGTCCCCCACCCTATCACATGGGGAGATGAGGAAGTAATTTTTTTTTTTTTTTTTTTTTTTGATCAGTGAGATAGGGGGAAAAATAGTGACATTCAAATTAAAGAGATTGTGTCCAAAATATATTTTGACTCTTGATTTCCAACAATTCAACATGCTAGGATGGAATAGAAAATTCCAAAAAAAGCTTCACATTCAACCATTAGTTCCAAAATAGCTTCATATTCACCATTAGGCTGACCTCTTCAAACTTTTGCATTGAACAAGTCTTTCAATTTACTCCTAAAATCAACTGATAGTGATTTAGGCATAAAATCAGATGACATATAGAGAAGACTTTGAAGTACTCTTTAGTCACTAAATAACCGACCACTTCTTACTCCGTCTATTCCTTTTAAAATGAAATATCATGTAAAATTAAGTTAAAAATTATACTACCTTCGATTTTTTTTAATTACAACTTTGGGATATTATTTGAGAGACATAAAATATTCCAAAGTTGCAACTAAAAAAAATCGAAGATAGTACAAGTATAAACACTTTCAAGACACCCTTAACTATGGTATGTTAGATAGGTGGTAATAAGTGATAATGATCGATAGACTTTCTAATACAGAGTTATACACAATGTCAATATATATTATGAAAAATTAGTTAGGTTTTATTGCTCTATATATGTATATACACTCACATACACAAGTATACCACATGAAACAAACACATAATCCCTTCTTTCAATGGAATCTGGAAAATAAATGTTGTTCTTCTATTGTATTATCTAAACTCATGTCAATCGAAGAATATGTTATTTGTGCTTCATCTTCTTCATTGCTTGAGATTGATTGGTTCTTTGACAATCCATGTTGCAAAGATGATCTTATAGTCTCTAGTTCAGCCGCGACTTCTTTCATAGCCGGTCTTCTCTTTCCATCCAAGTTTACACATCTTTTTGCAAGTTGAGCAACAAGCATTATTTCCTCTTCTCTTCCTTCTCTTTTGACTCGACCATCTAATATGTCATATAGTAAAGAATCTCCCATGTGTTCAACAAACCATACTACTAGACCCCTTTGTTCATCATCAATCAAAGCATTCGCCTTTTGTCCACTCAACAACTCGACTAGTACCACTCCAAAACTATAAACATCACTCTTATCGGTGAATTGGTTGGACTGAAAGTACCCTGGATCCAAATAACCAAACGTACCTACAACACGAGTTGTGACATGAGTTTGATCAACACCAATTGACTTCGATATCCCAAAATCTGATAATTTTGCTCTGTATTTGTTATCCAAGAGTATGTTGGAAGACTTGATGTCGCGATGAAATATAGGTGTTTCGGTTGAAAACAATGGGACCTTGCCGAAGGTCCACTAAAATGGAGAAGACTGGATTCGATCCAAGCTGTGTTGGGCCGAAGGTTTCCTGCACAGTGAACACACGTAAACTAGCCTCGGGGGTGTTTCCGAGGAAGGCCCCTCCGATGCTAAAGTCAGTACAATGTGTAAAAAGGAAGACACTATGCAAGAGAGTTTGTAGCTTGAGGCTTTTGTGGAGTATTTCTCAATGCAAGAATGAGCATATGAATTGCAATAATCGGTGTATGAGATAATGCAAGTGACAATGTGTCTGATAGTGTATGATCTCGTATGTGATGTTATGAGATGTCTGATGTAAGAATCTGACTCTCTCCTTGAATGTGTTAATATGAGGGCTTTTATACCTCATCATATTTGGAGAGGTTGGGCTTTAGCCCAATTGGCTTACTTTGTGGGCTGACTTTTGACTTTTGAGCAATTGGAGAGTTGAACCTTGACCTTGGGCTTTTAATTGGATCATTTAGTGCTCAGGCCCAATTTTGACTAAATTGGACCCAAACAACTTGCCCCCCAGACCCGATTCGGAAGAATGACGGGTCGGGTTTGATTTAACTCAGAAAAGGAGGGAAGTAAATGATTTAATTGATCCAAAAATTTGAATTTAAACCGTAATTAATGAGATAACAACGGTTAATGATTTGCGGAAGTTGGACGGATAATGGGCGGTTTAATCACAAGACATGTGTTTAATGGTTACTTAGTGGGTACTTAAGAGAAATTAAAGCACAGACTCTTCGTATCCCGTACCTGGAGATATAAACAGAGGCGCGTCATTCTCCTCACTGATTCACCAACACAAACCCAGAATTCTTCGAGAGAGAATCCAAGAATCCGTATCAAAACTTCGCAAATTCCCCCGAGCATTGAGCTTAGAAGCTGAGACTTGCCACTACGAACTCGTAAATCGGCAACTTTCGCTTCAGATTAGGTAAATTCCTTTGATTTCAGTTTATTTTTCTTCGAATTCGAACTCCTTCCCCTCTTCTTTCGACTTTTCTCTTCGAAATAGTCCATGGCAAGAGGAGTTAGAGGTAGAGCCCGTGCTCCAAGAAGAGCAAGGCCGATTCCCGA